GGGGAATCAAATACAGACATCACACGACGTAGCTTTAGGTAGCAAAACACGGAGATATGCTCACCTTTTGCAGAATAACAATACTGATCAAAAATGAGAAAAACGCAGCTGAAGGTTAATCCAATGTGTCTGTCACTCATGGGCGTAGGAAGCATCCTGAATGTGGGGGGGACATTTTTAACGGGGGGTGTGGGGGCGAAAAAAAAAATAGATTTCCTGTATTCTGGTGCATTTTAACAGGTGGTTTGATACTTTTATGTGGCTATACTAGCATGAGGAAAATGATGGGTACATTTTGTAATTTCATCCAGTAGTAAAGAAAGGAAACATATTTGATTATTAATTCAGAGCCGTCTTTGAATTAATAAAAAGCAGTTTAAAGGCCCATTTTTTGTACATTTATATACAACAATAAATATTTGTGAGTGCATTGAGAGATATTGTTGTGGAGAGTCATTTATATATAAATCGCAAAATACATTTGTGAATCCTTCTGTGAGCATTTATTAATATTGAGACTGATCTGACTCCATACGGATGTTAAGTTCACCTAGGAATGGTATCATTGACTTAAATGTTCAAATAAATGTTGCTCTTCTGTCTATATTGGTCATATGATGCCCCTTGACTGAAATGTTTCCTGTTCAATATCCCCACTGATTTCCTTAAAATCCTGGGATGAGAGTCCACATCACAATTTACTCTAAACTGTCATTTCCCTTTCATCACTCACCTCAGCAATGGACCTCTCTCCACTGTCCCTGTATTCTGCCTCTGACTCACTCTCAAGTGCCTAGATGTCAAGAGAGGTGGTGAAGTGATAATTATTTATTGAGCAGTATACTCTTTCACATTGAATCATAACAAGTCATACTGAATGTAAATACAACTGACTCTAAAGTAAATCCCAGTCTGTGACATTAGACATTTTGAAGACTCAAAGTCCCAAGCAGTAGGTAGAATATTAGCTAGTCTATGTAATGTGCACAGAAAATAAATAGTTAACTGAATACTGGGATGGAAATTGCCTATAAGCACTCAGTAAAACATAAACACACACAAAAAGCTTCTGAATGATAAGAAGTATAATTAAAACATAATGCACATTACCATTTTGAGAGAGAGTACCTAAATTAAAGAACTCAGAAAATAATCTCGTATCGAACTGAGGCTCCAGTAAAACACACTGACTGCGTCTCTACATGGACATCAGTAAGCCGTTTAAGAGTATTATCCCGGTTATGATGTGTTTACATGAGCAGAGAGATCGGGTTATTCATGTTCCCTGTTTACATGATAAATACTAGTAACCTGGCATTTCGATGCCTTTTCTCATCTAAACTATTCAGTATTTGTATTTCTCTATCATGACATAAAGACGAAACTCCTCTCCAGAAGTGAGACGCATTTGCCGCCACCACCGCCATCACTGTTAAGTTAACAGTGTTAACTGATTAACTGCTACCAGCTGATGACTTACTTTCCTCTTCTTTGCAAAAAATGTTCTTATGTCCATGTTGTCTGGGGGAGAAAACATATCAAACCAAGAGATAGTCAGCTTTGATTTTCGCTGTATTAACCATTTCCTGAACATTTGGTGTGTGTGCCTTACCTCCGCTACCGGTGTTACCGTTTAACTGGTGACGCGGGGGAACTCGTGACGTTCTATAAAATACATATACACATTTCGATCGCTTCTTCTGTCGTTTACATTAATCTTTTGGTATATTTGGCTGGATAGGAACACTTTGATGCACATTCAGTACCAGTGTGTGAGGTTGTGTTTGCGATGCCGATATCCGGACGCGTACAGCGAGGACTACAAAATGACAATGAGGTGACTGGGGATGTCTGTTCAAACCATTGCACGTTTGAATAAATCATTTAAACCAGTTATTTTTGCCACTTATTACTGAATATCGTTCTTAATGTGATACCAAGTCCATCTGAGACCCGTGTACACCTTCAGACAGCCTCCAAGTGAAGCACACGTTGTTTACTCACAGTTTGAAAGCAGCGTGGAGAAGTCTTCAGCTGAGCTGTGATCCGCCCAGGATAACTTGTGACACGACTTCTGTTCTGTGGCTATCAACCAGCAATCATGTTTAATATTAAAGACTACACACATGTATCCCTTATCAAAACGGTATTCTGCACTTTGCAGCACTTATCCAGATAAGTTGTGACTGTTAACTCGTTTTGCAAAGATAGCAGCAGAAATGTAATTGCTGCATGTGTAGGGATATTTAGACTGTAAAATGCTGCTTGGTCATTAATTTTGGTCTCCGCAAACAATATTATGAATCCTCTATTCAAACATATAATGCAGTGTCCATCGACATGAAAATAACTAAAAAGTTCATGCTGGACTCAAGCCCGAGTCCCAACAGCAAAAATCACTTTAGTCCTGCGCGTTGTGAGTGAGCCACGAATCATTACAAGATATTCGTTCATCACAGCTACATTTTTACACATTAACATTGTTAAAAGATTCAGAAAAATGCAAGCCAACTATCATTTATAATGCGAGCGAATTTATGTACACTTAAGCCATATAATATACATATTATGGTAGGCATTTGCTTTTAAATAGTATGGCCTACTGACTGAGGTCTGTATCAAGTCTCATGTATTAAGACCCACCGAGATCAGATATCCTAGTTTATCAGCCTGCGAGCCCACATTATGTTGTGATAAGTGGTCATTTTACATATAAATGTATTCCAGTGCACACATTAAGTTATATATAAATATAAAATATGCTAATCAGGCCATGTGTTTCGTTATGTAGTATAATCATCACCGACAGATGGAAAGACAACAATAACAAGGAATTCATATTAATATTATCAAGTTACACAGAAATAGATACAACATATAAGACAAAATAACACAAAGATAAAAGCATAAACGTTAAGATAGAAACGAAAACATGTTCACAGCAGAGTAAAAATTATGAATATATGTGTTTGTAGTTCTCAACGTATGTGAGTATCCTCGTCATTCGGTTTGTGTCGCTGTATCGATGCATAACGAAAGTTAACCAAGTAAACAGTCACATCTTATCTGGATAAGTGCTGCAAAGTGCAGAATACCGTTTTGATAAGGGATACATGTGTGTAGTCTTTAATATTAAACATGATCGCTGGTTGATAGCCACAGAACAGAAGTCGTATCACAAGTTAAACTGGGCGGATCACAGCTCAGCTGAAGACTTCTCCACGCTGCTTTCAAACTGTGAGTAAACAAACAACGTGTGCTTCACTTGGAGGCTGTCTGAAGGTGTACACAGGTCTCAGATGGACTTGGTATCACATTAAGAACGATATTCAGTAATAAGTCTGGCAAAAATAGCTGGTTTAAATGATTTATTCAAGCGTGCAATGTTTTGAACACACACATCCCCAGTCACCTCATGTGTCTTTTTGTAGTCCTCGCTGTACGCGTCCGGATATCGGCATCGCAAACACAACCTCACACACTGGTACTGAATGTGCATCAAAGTGTTCCTATCCAGCCAAATATACCAAAAGATTAATGTAAACGACAGAAGAAACGATCGAAATGTGTATATGTATTTTATAGAACGTCACGAGTTCCCCCGCGTCACCAGTTAAACGGTAACACCGGCATCCTTCATACAACAGAATCTGAGCTGTCCAACTATGACAACACTCCTTGAACATGCGCGCGCTATGTGAGAATCTGCCTTGGTACAAAGTAGCAGTGAAAACATGGTACGGAGTTTCATTGATTTGGGCATTCTCTCAATAAGCAAGTGGAATGGATTTGATAGTGAAGCACTGACACAGCGCTCTGCAAAGAGCGGCGAGTGGATAGACCGATTCACGGACTTTCCGCATAGTAAAAGTGGGGGGGTCCAAACTAATCATTTGAAAAAGTGGGGGGGACTTGTCCCACCCTCATATAATGGTTGCGACGCCCATGCTGTCACTTTGAAAAATGATTGATGATCCATAATTCCATTTTTATGTCAAAAACTGAGTTTTCATTAGCTGCTAATGGTAGCTTCCAGAGTGTATGACAGCTTCCTGTTTTGTCTCCTTGGATACGAGTCCAAACAACTCACAGACTGCCCCGGGCGCTCACGTAGGAGCCCTGTGACCATCAGATTTGACGACGCTGATTGGCTGAAATTATGTTTCGGCGGCATAGTTTAAAGATAGCAACAGTTGGCTTCTGCTGCACTTGCTGCACTCTCGTCTGGGCGCTGTGCATAGCGCCCACACGAGAGGGAGTAATGATACACGGGCAAGGCCAGGCAGGAAACATGTGACTTATCAGTAACTATAGACATCGTAACACAATTTTAAACGAGATTTTATTGTAGATTATACATTTTACTGATACCAATTATATAATATTTACCTTGTTTATTAAAAATAAAAATAAAAAATATATTTTTGAAATATATATTTTTTTATTTTTTTATTTTTAATGTGGAAAGAGGGGGGGCGGCCGCCACTGGTTGCACTTATTGTACGTCGCTTTGGATAAAAGCATCAGATGTAATGTAAAAAGAGGGTTGGGATGCACCCTGTTTTAGCATTGGAACGCGGCCCTACTGTTAAACGGATCAAATCGAAAACAGATCCCGCCCATCTCCACCAGCGCGCTCACTCATTGGTCGAGCGTGCTGTCAATCACAGCCGTGACTCAGATCGTTCTTATTATACATCCATGACTCAAATCCCAGTCATGTGACAGATGTTTTTGTTGTGGAATAGAGTAATGCTTAAATGCTCAATTAAAGCTTAATTGTATCCATACTGTAAGTGCACTATTCAATGTTATTGACCGAAAATGAGTGCCTTTAATGTTGTAAATTGTAATTGATTAATACAAAATATAATAAAAAAACGGGCCAACTGTCAAACGGTCCAATCCAAAACAGATCCCGCCCAAACCCACCAGCGCGCTCGCTCATTGGTAGAGCGTGCTGTCAATCACAGCCGTGACTCAGATCCCAGTCATGTGACAGATGTTTTTGTTCGCTTCCTGCCTTCAGTGTTATCGCCTCATCACGTGGATGTCAAAACCCCTGACTGGCTTTTTAAGGTTGAAATAAGGTTAATTTATCTCTACCTCGGGATTTCTCCCCCCAGGACTGTTGTTGAGGACGGGATGTCGGACGGGGAACGGTCGCCTCTTCTGTCTGATCAACATGACGAGACCAACGGCTTCTCTACCGGTCAGATTGGACATGGATATCAGAGAAAAACACAGAGTATGTGTCCGCCGAAACCATTCAGACATATTTAAAGTTGTTATAACATCAACATTCAAGGATTTTATTGTTTAATTCAAGCTGGACAATGTCGACAACTTGAAAACAAACTTGTAAACAAACGTTAGCTAGTGTCAGTTGTGGCTCGCAAGCTAGCTAGCTATTAGCACTAAATCATTACATTACATTACATTACAATACATTACAATACAATACATTGCATTGCATTAAACTGCATTTAGTTTTTTGATAATGAACGTGCAGTCACAGGTAAAGAGGTTTAACTCAAAGGGAACTCACTTTAGGTTTTGTTATGAAAGTCTGGCAACGTTTTAAGGCTGTGAACTGAAGCTATTATAGAAGGAACATATGAGGACTTTATTTTTGTATTCAAGCTGCTGAATGTCGACCACTTGAAAACCAATGTTAGCTAGCTAGCTGACGTTAGCAATGTTGCTAAAGTTAGCACTAAGTCATGCATTTACAGTCACAGATAAAGAGGTTTCACTCATGGAAATTCACTTTACGATTTGTTTTTAAGGTCTGGAAACCTTTTAAGGCTGCCACAATGTAATGACATGATCCCAAATAGCCTATACAACAGTTGCATAGGCGGAAGTGTTCATGTCCTTTTACTTAAGTGGAAGTACCTTAAGTAAAGGAGGACCACACTGAAAATACTCCACTATAAGAAACAATTCTGCATACTAAAGGTTGCTTTAATACAACATTATTAGTATCACTTCATGTACTAATATTTATATTAAAAATAACATGCAACGTTCTTGTACATCTGTTTTCATTAGAGACTCTTCTACTGAATGTACTCTTCTAATATCAGAGTCCACATGCTAACAAAGGTATCCCAACTGTAGCTGTGAACATGACAGGATGTATGATTACCTAGAAGAGCATCAGGACTGTTTGAGGCATATGATAGCTATGTGATTAACATGATGATTCAGCCTCTATGGAGATAGACATATGACAAGCATGATCATTTCTGACGTGGAGCTAATCTGAACCAAACATTGAATACTGCTTTCTATTCCTCCATCTTGTGACTGTGTAACTCCCTCTCTTGGATATCAGTATGTGAAGGACACTGTTCAGGAACTAGTTGATGCTCTGTATGTGATGACTACTTCCATTCTGGAGAGGATCAGAAATACATGGATCCTGATTATTGAAGCTCAAGCCGGTGACGAGTGATATTTTTCTAACAGCGGCGTTCCCCAACTCGGTGGCACCAGATGAGCCCCCACCCCCGTACTCCCCTCAGGGCAGCCCGGACAGCGGCAGCTCTCCGGTGATCAGCTGCCGGGTGTGTCAGAGCGCCATCTCCGTGGAGGGCAAGACGCACCAGCACGTGGTGAAGTGCAGCATCTGCAACGAAGCCACGGTGAGTCACACACACAGATTATCAGCGGGGAAAACTATCTATGTTCTCTCACAGAGCATTAAAGGGTGTATCCCAACATTAGTCCTGCTTGTCGTACCTTCTTCCCCAGTATATCTGTGTTACAGTGAGTATTAAAACACATTGTGAGACTGACACACATGCCAGATTAGGGTTTTAGAAAGACTGCAGTCAGACGCTCAAACTTCAGTGTCAAGTTTCTCAACCCAGACGTCGGCAGTGTCTCGTTCCCTTCGTCTCATCACAGAAGAGTTGCTGATAGGATCAAAAGTGAACTATTTAAGAACCCAGAAATGGGGAAAAGCCTCGAGACAGAAACTGAAAAAGTGCTGTGTTGGACGTTTTTCTTACTCCTCCGCCCTCTTTCTTCATCTCGTTTCTCTGCAGCCTATAAAGAACGCTCCGGTTGGGAAGAAGTACGTCCGCTGTCCCTGTAACTGTCTCCTGATCTGCAAAGTCACGTCTCAGAGGATCGCCTGTCCGAGGCCGTACTGGTGAGGAACAGAAACAGAATGAGATCATTTTCACCTTCTCATATTTGGCTGTTAATCTGTGCGGGAGGAGACAGTCATTGAACAGCAACACACGGCCATCATGAGACAGTGAAGGAGCTGCTGTGCAAATTAAGTCAGCAGCAGTTTCCCAATAAAGATTACCAGACGTATAAAATACAGAAAGGGAACGTTTGTAGCATCCTGCAGGAGAGAGGGGAGACCCTGGTTTTTCCTCTACTACTGATATTCAAAATGGTTATACCCCTTTATTACTTAACTAGTAATAACAGTGATCATCACCACAAATAGTAACATATAAAATGTAAATCTTCTTTATGGTCTGCTTGTCCATTAACCCCCAATTGCTTTATGTGCAGCCATATTATCAGTTTAATAATAATACATTTTATTTGTAAAAGCACCGTTCATTGCTAAAAGTAATCTGAAAGTGCTACAAGGGGTTTAATATACTTTACATAAACACAAGTTTAGGCCCGTCTTAAAGGAGTTTAAACAAACTTGATATATGTGTCTAGTCTGAAGTTTACAATCTGTAGAGTAAGATATATTTTCCCTTGTCATGTTGTCTTCATTTGAGCAAGCTTCTGAAGCCTAAAAAGGTGAAAGAATTGAGTATTTTGTAAGAATTTTTTTTTTTTTTTTAAATGAGGTCCTAAGGTGTGTGTGTGTGTGTGTGTGTGTGTGTGTGTGTGTGTGTGTGTGTGTGTGTGTGTGTGTGTGTGTGTGTGTGTGTGTGTGTGTGTGTGTGTGTGTGTGTGTGTGTGTGTGTGTGTGTGTGTGTGTGTGTGTGTGTGTGTGTGTGTGTGTGTGTGTGTGTGTGTGTGTGTGTGTGTGTGTGTGTGTGTGTGTGTGTGTGTGTGTGTGTGTGTGTGTGTGTGTGTGTGTGTGTGTGTGTGTGTGTGTGTGTGTGCAAAAAATTTTCTCTGTAGGCTTTTCTGGTTCTCCTGGCTTTGGCAATAGTTTGATTGACAGATGGTTCATCCTGTCATAGTGCACCCGCCTTTTTTCAAGCAGTTTGAAATGAAGGCCTCATCAGATGGTTCTGATATGTATAGCATCAACAAATAAAACCTAAATGCATAAGAATCATGGACTTTCTCACACTTTCCTGTATCTTAAGCAGTTGTAGGTAGAATGTGTCAGGGTTGTCTAAAAGCAACACCAGCTTTTAGTTGTTTTTCATTATTATTATTTAGTGTATTTGGGTTTTCTCTGTTCAGTAAACGTGTCATCAACCTGGGACCGGTTCACATCGGGAGGGAGAGTCCGGAGCCTCGGAACCAGCCCGTCGGCATCAGGATCATCTGTGGACACTGCTCCAACACTTTCCTGGTAACACACACACACAGACACACACACACAGACACACACAGAGACACACGCACTCGCTCGCTCACACACACAGACACACACACACACACACACACACACACACACCATTATAAATGACATTGCACATTTAACTTCTCTATAATTTAATATCTAAAGTTGTTGCAGAGTATTTTGAAATCTCACTTCCTGTTTCTTTTCCAGTGGACGGAGTTTTCAGACCGGACTTTGGCCCGATGTCCACACTGCAGAAAAGTGTAAGAGCTTCAATAATTCCTCTTAAAATACCACCAGAAATGTTCCGTTGCCTTGACAACTCATTTATTCACGTTTTTTATTTCCAGCTCTTCTATTGGTCGACATTACCCCAGGAGGAGGAGCGTGCTGTGCTTCCTGCTCTTCATCGTCCTCGCCGCCTCCACTGCAGGACTCGTGGTGTGTGTGTGTGTGTGTGTGTATGTCTCTGTGTGTGTGTCTCTGTGTCTCTCTGTGTGTGTCTCTGTGTCTCTGTGTGTGTGTCTCTGTGTCTCTGTGTGTGTGTCTCCTAATAGACGTTATAAGCAAAAACGGACATCAAAACATTTGACGCTAGGTAGCTAAAAATGCTAACATTTTTACCTTGTCTCTGTAGTCTCTCCAAAGTGGTCTTCAATGGCATTAAAACGATAAAAACGCTGCTGAAGTTAATCCATAGGTTAATCTAATGTGTCTGTGTCCCTTTGAAATGATTTCTGATAATCCATAAGCATTAAAACTGCTTTTCCGTTTCCAGATGTCAAAGCTAGAGATAGGTCCACTCTGATGGAAAATTACATGCGCGAAGCCCCCACCTCTTCTCTTCACAACGTGTGTGTGGGGGACTCCTCCTTCGATTCTATTGGCTCTAACGGTCAGAAAGAGGTGTCAACCATCAAAATCGAGCAAGGGAAGCCAGAGATATGGAAAATCCACCCAAATGACCCCAGAAGTGGTTTCTTTTTGCTAAATCTCTCTAAAAAGATCAAATGTCACTTGTTTTGCATCAATCTTGATACAGGGTACTTATTATATGTTGTACTTTGGATTCCTAAAGCTTTTAGTCTACTAACCCATCATCCAAGGGTAGTTTTCACTATCTGTAAAAAATAATTTTTGGACGGACACTATAATTTACAGTTTTTTACTATGTAAAATCTAAATTTTCTTTAAAATATAAAAACATCTATATTGATTCTGACTTTTCTACATCCAACTCACAGGTTTATCATTACTTTGAGAAAAAAGATTATGAATTTAACCCTTTTAGAAGGGAAGATATGGTCATTTGTTCTGGGAATGTCATTTTCGAGCCTGAGACCTGAAAAACAAGTTTAACAGGTTAATCTAATCTCTCTCTTCAGGCTGGAACGTGGCGTCCCGCTCAGGACTCTAAAGGGATCTACGTCTCCTGGGTTTTTCTGATCCTCCTCGCTCTCTTCACCATGTTCAGAACCGTCTACTGGAGGTGTCTGAAGATCAGCGACCCCATATCCAATGTCACGTAGAGAGGGGGAGGAAAGGAAGAAAGGAAGGTGAGAGGGTTAGTGAAGGAAGAGAGGAAAGGAACAAAGCATAGATGAGACAAGGAGAGAGGAGAAGATGCATTCAACATGAAAAATAAAACTTCAAACTCAAGGGGATTTAACACAAAGAAATATTCATGATGAGTAAGACATGCAGATGTTTGACCCCATAACTAACTGGGGGTGTCTGTTTGCGAAGAGGATGCAGAGAAAATAGTTAATTGAAAGAAAGAAATGTTTAAATTATTTCTTTTGACCCGGTAGTTTCCCCTTTATGTTGTTTCAATTAGACTAATGTTCACGACAATGTTATTTAAACATGATGTGCCCCAAATTATAATGAAATAATAGAGAAATAGGATTCAGTTAAGATTCGTGTGGATAGGTCACAGTGAAGGAGGGGTTTTAGTTCATGTTAAGTTATATAATCATTACCAAATATTTAAGTCCAATCTTTTGACTCAACTCTTGTTTTTGAGTCATTTTTCTTTTGTTGTTCTCACTGTACTACAAACGAACAAAAATAAATATGAAAATTCCTTCAGAAATACATTTATATTCGCATTTAAATTCAAATTTGAGCTGATTTTCTTCGGGATCAGAAAATGAAATACAGGGGATAATTTAATTACAAAGAACTACATGTTTTTGGGGCATTGTTTGTTAGATAACGCGCATTATATTATGTCGGATATATAATGAATTAATGTTGGGACATTTATAAGGCATTCATTCAGGATTAAGTGGCATTATTTTTCATTAATCATCTCACATATTCATTTTGGGGCATTTAATTATTTATTTCTTTGCTTGAAAATGATTCATATCAGAGAAACCTGCAGCTGATCTTCTAAACGTCACTGGAAACGAGTCAAAGATAAGATCTAATATCTAAATGCTTTTTAACTATTAACCACACACAGGGAAGGATCTATTTACTCGTCTCTCTGTGTGTCTCCTCTGTAAAAGTGTAAATAAATATATATTCAGGTGTTGATTATTATGGTCTGTACAGAATGATCCAGCTGTTGCGCCCCCTTGTGGCTGAGTGGTGTAAGTACCTGCTAACTGAAACCTGTTGCACTACATCGTTCTGATAAATACTACTATATGCTGTTGTCCATATTGTTCCGGTGGATGGATTTTTTTTTTTTGTATATTGTGAAACAAAGAAGTAATACTTTTAACAACGTGCTCTGACTCAAATGTGTCTTATTTTCAGATATAAATTGACAGGTTTTTGTGATTTATTTGTCTATTATTACTGAATATTTTGTGATTTGGAAACATGGGAAACATATTAGCAATATAAAAGTAAATATTTGTATTTATAGGGGCCTCCATTGGTCACATGTTTGACCCCTGACATCAACATCGTCCTGCCTGAACTGTACAAATTGCACAGAAGCTGCACAACTTAGTAATATATAATTATAGTAATAATAAGAATACTTTATCCTGAGGAAAAACAAGATTTTCTTTGTAACAATTACTCTATTTAAGAACAGAATGAAAAAAACGATAGAATTTAAGATATTTATTAAAACATAAGAAGTTTAATTAAGGATATGCCATATAAAAATAACATAATTAACATATTTATATAAAAGCTGGAGATTAAAGTAAACATCTTATTAAGCACAGGGGTATCCAGTTTGATGCAATCTGCAACTTCACCACTAGGTGTCACCAAATCCTTCAAACTGACCCTAAAACACAAGTGGGATTTAAAAACACACCTGCCATGTGCCTCAAGCATCAAATGACAACATGTGTGATGCACTCAGTCAGGTTTAAATCCGTTTAGGAAGAAGTCGACACGTCTATCTTTCACACATCATTTCCGATAACTAACTGGGAAAACGTTATTGCACAGTTTTCATGCAGGACATTTTCGGGATGGACTACGAAATGTTTTTTTTTGGGGCATTGTGACGACAGAAATATAATAAATATATGATGTATATGGGCACATTTATCAAGCATTATTACATGGCTTAGTTGAATACTCGATTCTGATTGGTCACTTCAGAACACGTGACAAGTTGTTAATCCAGAACAGACAGACCGCTGTCAAGGATTTATTGATCGTTGTTAAGGACGCTCACATCTGCAGAAAGAAGTCCGGTCGATTTAACTGCATGCACTTTGCTTTTCGAACTGGGACAAGAAAACAGCGGAGAAGTAACGGGGCAGAAACCCTCCTTTTTACGCAACGGTCCAGGCATAGACATCAAACGGCAAAACATATTCAGTTGCCAGTTACTTTGGCATTAGGGCAGGGATATCTAGATACTTTCCAAGGTTTGACATAATGAATTGTGCTACTTTTAAAGCAAGCAACGATGTTTTCAAATCTGTAATCAAAAAGCTCGGCAAAAACGCCATCGAAGCAGTTCCTGCCGTTGACGTAGTTCAAACGGTAACAACGGACTATTTTCCTTAGATGCATGTCATTTTAAATAAATAATAGCCTACTATTTTTTAAATCAATAAAAAAAAATTCTAAATCTATAAAAGCATTTCACTTAAAGGTGGGGTAGGTCATTTTGGAGAAACCAGCTCGAGTGCGCTAGAATTTGAAAATACACGACCGGAGAAAATCTGCCACTTCCTTACAGAGCCCCGCCTCCAAAACACGAACGCGCATATGACCAATGAGGGCACGAGATCAGTTTGTGCACAGATGGAAGGCTGACAGGCAGGTAGGCCATCCAGTTATTTTAGCCGGGCCGGCTCAGATGATTGGTCGTGCTTTTTACAGTACTACGGCTTCCACAGATGATATTTATTTATGGATTTTTTGTCAAAGCACTTCAGATATTCATTGCTATCAGGATGTTAAGAGCATTCCATGGAATATAACAAAAAGTGTATCTCGAGCCGGTTTCTCAAACTTACCTACCCCACCTTTAATATTGGGAGTCATGTCGTTACTTTGTTGAGAATGTGGCCTTGTAATAAGCGGGATAATGTGCAGCGAGGCGGTCATTATGGGGAAAAGAACACCCGACAGGCTGATCAAGATCCCTCCGCGTCGGGCTCCTGATCTGCCTGTCGGGTGTTCTTTTCCCCATAATGACCGCCTCGCTGCACATTATCCCTTACTTTAAATCAGGAATATGTTGCATGATTCTTTTTTAAAACACATTTTGTGGCATTAAATTATAAAAAAAATTGTATTTTAAATGTGGGATTAGTCATGATTAATTACATTTTATAATATTGATAATATATACACTTAGTATGTACAAGAAATAAAAGAGATGTGAGTCCTGGCGTTCTCCCCCTCTCTCCCCCTCCAGCTGCTGTCTCAGAGGGAGTGTGTGTGTGTGTGTGTGTGTGTGTGTGTGTGTGTGTGTGTGTGTGTGTGTGTGTGTGTGTGTGTGTGTGTGTGTGTGTGTGTGTGTGTGTGTGTGTGTGTGTGTGTGTGTGTGTGTGTGTGTGTCCTCTCTCTGGCCCTTCAGTGTCTCGCTGCTTAAATCCCACTGAGCCACGAAATGGCTTTAAGCCTCAGAAATGCAAAACGCTCGAGTCCAGAAACACCTGGGATAAAACACAGGAAGAGGATTCAACAATTTTCTTCTGCTCTGATTTAAAGACTTATAGTTTTGCATCGGTGTATTTACTTTTAACTTTTTTTATCCTGTTTTAAAATTGGACCCTAATGGATTCATTGCCTTAATTCTCCAGAACTGCGGGAGGATTCCTGGAGGACCTGTTGGATAACACCCTATTTCTCTTTTGGATTTCCATTTGGATTTTAACGCAAACTGACTCAAAAGTGGACATGTTTAGTGTTGCAAGTGTGTGATTAAGAGAGTGTGTTTGTTTGTGTGTGTTTTTGTGGCCATGCTGGAGGAAAAGAAGGGCCCGGGATCAACGGACGCAAGTCACCCAAAAAAGATCCACAACAGCACGATTAAAACCAACCTCATCCCAAACAGCAGCGGTGCACACCGGTAAGAACAAAAATATACTTATTTATCACTTTTATAAACTAGATAATGTTACCTACACCTGCTAAAACATAAAACCAAAAGTGTCTCAGTCATATAAACTTGATATGTGGAGGACTGGTAGATTATTCAAGATTCAAGGCTTTTATTGTCATTTGTACATGTAGATATATCATTGAAAATAGAAATAAAATAAACAGAAAAGGCAGTTGATTGAGGGGCTTATGGATAGACAGAGTTGAAGAGATGGGTTATGTGGATAGTCTTGATGTATACACTTCAATAGGAGTCTATCCACGTTTAGTGTATAGTGACCACATTCTGGTTGGGCCATGTGTGCATACGGAGCAATTAGCAGGCGTGAAATGTTCCTCTGGTTTTAACCCCGGCTGCTCCGCCTAGCCTGAAGCTAAAACAAGACGACAACTGTATGAGCGTTGTGTGTACGATACGAGAGGAGGCCTCATGTGTCTAAAGCCCGGGGTTTAAGAGTTTCACTCAGCTATGCGTATCATCCAGAATCTACACACACATGTTGCTCAATTTCATCCGATGGCAGGCAGTAGGCTATGTGGCGGGAAGAGGTTCCTAAAGATTCATTCAAGTGATCGAAGCTTCAGCATATCACATTTTATCACATTTAGCAGACGCTTGTATCCAAAATGGACCCATAATAAGTGCATTAAACCATGAAGAAACTAATTTTAAAATGCTAGTAAATTAGCTATAAAGGTCAAATCATTGGTAGCGCTACATTAATTTATTTATTCGTTTATTTATTTATTAATTTGTTTTTTTAGTTGATCTTTTTCATTTGATATGATTTAATTAACTTTATTTTATTTTTATTTTAGGTACAGTTAAAACTGGTGGGTTTTTAAGTCTGCAAAAATGAGCGAGCTGAAAGCAGTTTTACACCATTAAGTAACAATTGACAGTAAACAATAATAATTTAAGTGGTTTTTCATGCAAAAGATGGGAGAAAATA